GCTGCCACAGGCTACCCAAAAAGCATTGGATAGCATTGCTCGACACAATGGACAAAACTGCACAGTTTGCAATGGTCACTCCACTGACGGCACCTGCAACCACGAGTCCGTGAAGGTCGCGAAACCCATTCCTGTGTCAGAACGTATGCCCGAGCCATCCATCTGGAACGAAGAACCAACTATGCGCCCCTCGCAACCCCCTGCCCTCGCTCTTGCTACTGTTCTCAAGGGCCTGGAGGATGAACTTGCCCACCTCAAGATGCAACTGGCCACATACCAAAGTGCCTATAACAAGCTTGACGCATCGCTCGGCAAGCGTCCGCGCAAGGCCCTGCAAGAAAAGATTGATAATATCTTGAAGGGCATCGATATGAAGTCTGACCAAATCTACGCTCTCTACGATGTTTTGGAGGGCCAAAGGCAAGATGGTCGTGAGATGACCGACCACGAAATGGAAGCGACTCTTGAGTCAATTGGAATTGATGTCGACATGTCCCATGGACCTGATGTTACTGGTACTACTGATAAGTCTTCTCGCCACGGCCAGGTTGACCTGGATGATGACGAGGATTTGCCCTGGGAGGGTATTGAGAGCACTGCTGAGATGACTGGCCACCTTTCTTTGGGCGGTCACTGAGCTATGTTTGTTGCATCGCATTGCGTGTGTTGATATTATTCTAGTTACTTTGCTGCTACTTTGGCGCTGTTTTATGGAGTTTGGTTCGATCTGTATCTTTACTTTATTGATTTGGGGAATCGAGTATTGTTTAGGTAGTTCTTGATACTCAAATATCATTGTGGCCGTATCACGGCCCTGGAAATAACTTCTTCCATTTCTTATCCAATATAGCGTAACTCTCTAGATCATTTAGCTGTTTTGTGCTGTCTGTATCAATCTCAATGTATTTGTCAAGTTTCATTCTTTGAATTATGGTAATACCATATGCAGTGACTGGGATATCCCAAGCGAACAGAAAAAACGCCATCGCTATGCTCAGTAGCTAATAAAACAAACCAAATTTTATACAAGCCCCGAAATCATTCCAAACCCAGTCGAAGTAGAATTCAAGCGGTGTTCTCTCCACTATTCGCAGCCATAGCAGCACCCTCTGAAGCCGTCGACTTCGAAATATTAGCAGCATCTCGCTGAGAGATCTCCTCCCCAACAAAGCAGCTCAACCCGGCAAAAGCCTCGAGCAGCGTGCGCGAGTAGTATTCGCGTAAATCATAACCACCAGCCAGCATCCGCGCATCATTGCGAATAGGATCAAGATACTGCGACGGATAATATGACTGGAGAGAATAGTAATCGCGCTTTTCGGGCAAATAGCCCATAAACGGGTCGTACGGCTTCTCCGGCTCGGGCGTGATAATCTTGCGCAGACCCTTGACAAGTCCCGTATCCGCCGCACCAGCATGATCCAACGTGGAAAGATTCGACCCGCGCTTGGTCTCCAACCGCAGCGCAGCCTGTTTCTGTCGAATGCGTTCTTCCTCGCTGCGACGCGCGGACGACTTCTTCAGCAGCACCTTGTGTCCTTCGCGGGCGATGGCCGCAGCATCTGTTGATGAGCCGGAGGCGAGCCTTGAGAGGAAATCCTCGCGTCCTGCTTGAATCTCGCGTCGCTCAGTCTCGTATTCCTGGCGTACTGCTTGGCGGCGCAGTCGGGCTTCTTCTTGTTCGAGGGTCATGCGGGCTTGGAATGAGGAGGCTTCCTCGGCTTCTATAGCTTGGTTTGTGCGGATTGATTGCATGTTGTCTGCTGCGTATTTTTGGAGCTGGGCTTCGGTTTTTGCCACATCGATGCGGCTTACTAGGTTCGCGATTATGTCCTCCCTTTGTTCCAGGAAGTCGTCGTATGCACGCTTTGAGTCAAATTCTTCTTCGCGGCGGTTTAGGCTGATCGAGATAATCTGTTAGTTCTCACAATATCATAGGGTGTTTGACAAGGGACGTACATGTGCATCACACGCCGCCGGATATCTACTTCTCTCTCCACCCCGATATCTTCAAATGTTTGCTTGCGGAACCGATTTTTGCGGAGCGTTTTGCGACACCCGGCTACCGGACAGTTTGCGGGGCCAGATGAGAAAATACGGTCCACGCACGACTCACACATCTTGTGGTAGCATTCGGGGTTGATGAGAAAGCGCATGTCCGGGTTGAGGTATCGCGACGATTTGCAGACAGGGCAAACCTCTACAAAAAGATGTGATTAGTATTATACATCAAGATGAAGCCGAACAAGAGCTTACCGTCTTCATCACGGCGAGAAGCCGCATCGGTGGCCATGGTGAGTAAAGTGACGTGGGAGGGATGGACCACGGACTTGGTTGAGGCTGATAAGCAACGCACGTGCACGGGCCACATCCTCGTCACTTTTTTTTTTGCGACTTTTTCTTTTTGTCTCCGGCAACCCCTCTGTTTGCTCCGTTCCATTTAATTGACGTTGTCAGTGCCGAGCTGCTACTTTTAACAATCATGGGAGTACCGAACCCCAACCTCGACGCTCTCGAAGAGCAGCGCCTCGCGCTCGAAGAAAACATCCTCCAACTTCAGAAATCGCTTTACCACTGGCGAACCTGGGAAGCGGAATACGACGGAGTCCGCGAGGAGATCAGCAACCTGGAAGATGATGCCAGCACAGATGAATTTATTGCCGTGGCCCTGGAATTTGGCGGCACGCTGGTGGATCAGAAAGAAATGCAGACAATACTCGGTTCGCAAGGTGTGACGCGGTCTCGCGGGCAAGTGGTTGATCTTCTCGGAAGACGCATCGACTATGTGCAGCAGAATGTTGCGACTATGGAGAAGAGGCTTTCGAAGGCCCAAAATGAGCTGGACGCTTTGGTCTTGGATGATCAGCCACCGCTGCAGGACGGTGCGGAGTTCCCGATGCAGGAGATTATGGAGGAGCTTGATGAGGATGGAAATGTCGTCTCGAGCAAGATCAATACGCCTGGGAATGACGCTACGGAATTGCTGGATGTGCTGAAGAAGGCTGGTGTCAAGGATATCCCAGAGACTGCTGAGCCAGAGAAGACTGCTGCAACTCCCGCCGATGCTACACGTGAAGGCGCGGTGGGTGAGTCGGCCACCTCCATTGCTGCAGACCAGCAGAACGATTCCTCGAGCGGCGACAATGTGATCACAGATCCAAATGGCGTATCCCTGAAGTTCTCTCAACCTCAGTCCGTGGTGACCGCCGAAGATCGCATGCAGCCACCTGTCACGGATGTGAATGAATCTGCAGAAGAAGCAAGACTTCGCCGTGAAATGCTCGATTATGGGATCAACGAGGTGGGAGCTATCGTGGCAGAGTTAGAAATGGATGAGTCCGGAAGCGACATTTCCTTTGACGAGGAATACGATTACGACTACGACGAAGAAGATAATGAAGACGAACACGGCCGCTCTCACACCCATCTCCCGGCGGAATACCACCAGCAGATGATGGAATTGGAGGCCAAGCTCAATGCCCGGGGCTTGATGAATATGGGCAAGGACACTGAGACGTTCCCCGAGGAAGTGCAGCAAGAGATCGCGACATCTGCTGAGGTTGAAACTACCACCAAAGAGAAGAAACCTAAGAAGCGTGTCGCGTTCGCCGATGAACTTGATATCGCACCAGCTCCCACACCCTCGGTTACTGCAGAGAAGGCTCCTGCTCCACGGGCCGAGCCTCAGGTGCTCGCTGATTCCATTGTTGAACGGACCAGTCGTGTTCCGGAGCCCGCTCCAACCACCCCTGCTGTTCCTAAGAAGACCTCACGGTTCAAAAGTGCTCGGGCCGTTACTCCAGATAGTACCGCTAGCGGATCTGTTACTACCGGGGCTACAATCGCAAATCCGTCAGAAGTCACCGATTCTCGCCTTCGCAAACAAGCCAACACAACTCCTTCTGTGGTGCCGCCTGTCCTCTTCCCTGCGACGCCAAAAGAGCCTAAGCCCTTCTCCGTACCAATCACTGATATCTCTGAGGTCACCGAGAAACCTTCTGCGCCTCAATTTCCACATGACCGAACTCTAGCCGAAAAGGTCTTTGAGCGACAGCCCAAAGCGGGGGCTGTAGTAGCTCCTGAACTGGACGTCTACGACGAAGAGCTTCACCAGAAGCAGATTGCGTCAGAGTTCTTCAATATGCAAAAGCGCATCAACGGCACCAAAGAAGACGAGGAGCATGATACTTTCCCTCCTGAGGAAGTTGAACCTAAACGTGTGAGCAAGTTCAAAGCCTCACGAATGGGATAGTTTTGCAAGAGTTGGCTACATGTATGGCTATTTCAAACCCAATGTATTTATCAGAAAGGAAGTGATTGTTTTTGTTTTGTTTGTCTATTACCCTTAGTCCCGTCAAGAGCCACTTCTCTTCTTCTTCTTCTTCTTCTTCTTCTTCTTCTTCTTCTCCTCCTCCTTCTTCTTCCTCCCCCGACCAACGGGCTTCCAATTTCTGGTGGGTTTACCCTCAGGAAAATACAAGGTGCATACCCCTATCTCTTCGTGCGATGGGAAATCGTGGTATCACCACGAACTGAAGTCCAAGATCAAACGAGGGATTCTCTGGCTGCGCTCCTCAATTCTATCAGAACAGGAGAGAAAGCGTATGTTACTCGTGCTTCTCCTCTGGGAAGGTTCAGAGCAACTACGGGAGTATTGACTGCCTGGAGGATTGATAGATGGAGGTGTGGTTTATTTATTCTCTCTCGACATCCTACGTAGCTTAATCTCGAGTGAATGCACTCGTTTCTCGACTTTTCTCATCCGCCACCTGCGGTGCCTTGTCACACAGTCCCATCCTGTCTCCATTCTTACCTTGAGACTGGTTTGGCTTTTGTCTAAACTCATACGACAGTATGTCTTTGACGGAGTAAGGATTGAGCTCTCAGCATCACCGTATAATCCCTCATTATTTATTATAAAGCCAATGTCTGCCCACGACAGAGTACACCAAATTGCAACATAACTCTCAGCGTATCAACAAACGAAGCACGACACAGCCTCAAAAACAAGAGGTCACGCCTGGCGAAATCTTCTCCAACTTGGTGACCAACTCCTTGAAAAAGGCTTCTTCAATCATAATTCCCTTTCCATTGGTCACGATACAAGATGGACTAGAGAACATAGTTAGCTGACTTGATTTTCCGGATCAGACACCAACAACCGACTTACCTGTGAACTCGACAGTTTGTCAGATACTGCCCATTGCTTTTCTCGTCGGCCATGATCGCGTGTACCAAAGCACGACTACCCTCCTCCGTACTGCGAGCCAGCAGCCTTTCGCCAACGCGAAAACCGACACTGTCCGTTTCCCGCGCCAGTTTAGACTTGCAGAAGCTGGGGTTTGGCGTGTTGATGAGAACTAGCGGCGCTTTGCTCTGTGCAAGTCGATTCACAAATGCACGCACACCGAACAATACCAGCAGCTTTGACAATGGGTATCGACCTGCCATATTGGTAGCTTCTTTGTTGTTGAGCGATTTGAAGATACCGCCCTCATTTTGAGGATCCAGCTGCTCAAGAGAAGCAATATAATGCAAAGCCGAGTTTGGGATTGTGATGCAAGGGGTGATATTGAAGTTGGAAGCTGACTCTCGCAGTTTTGGGATCAGTAAGGCAATAAGCAAGAACGTGCTCACCACGTTGACGGTGATAGTTCTCTCGTCCTCCTCCGATAAACTGAATGTATTTGATAGCAGCCCGGCATTTGCCAACAGAGCATCAAGACGAGGTAGAGCTGCAGCACGGCTGGCAAAGCTTTTGACTGAGACATAGCTATCCATATCCAGCAGCCACACCTCGACTGAGCTTTCATCGCGGCTGGTGGATTGCAATAGTTCTTGTCTTGCAGCTTCACCCTTCTTCGGATCGCGTACTGCCATGATCAACTTCTCCACGCCTAGGCGCAACAGGTGGCGGCTGGCCTCGAAACCTAGACCTTGGTTTGAACCGGATACGATGATTGTATGTCCGCTGAGATCGCCTTCGGGGTAAGGGAGTTGGATGAAGATATTGGATAACACCGTTGACAAGACACCCTCTAGAGTCGAAAGGACAGACATGGTTCTGTCTGTTTAGGTTGAATCTGAATAAAAAAGAATAAGAAGTATCACTGTGCACAACCCTGAACCAAACAGATGCTTTTCTTGGCCCTTTAAATAGGAAACCCTCTCGCGGTCGGGCTTATTATAGCCGCTAATTCAATTATATCTACGGCAAAGACGATTATAGGGCTTTATTATCTCCGTCTACTGCGTATATATTACGCAGGCCTGTATGGATAAAATAAGGTGTAATTATGAATCTGATGTATCAATACCGTCAAATAACAGATCAGGCCAGGGAGATAATATCTCCGCTTCGCCCCTTTCTATACTCCGAGATGATCTGACTACGACAAATAACTTTGGACTTTTGTTTGACTATCTAAACTCATTGGAGATGTCTATGAAATTCGAAAAACGAAACCGACCGCCTCTGTCCTGCGAACCATGTCGCTCACGGAAGTAAGCATTCATCACATCTTCGGTCTTGGATCCGACCTTATAGACTCACCTTCGCTAGATTGAAATGCAACAGACTTCTACCCTGTAATACCTGCATTAAACGCAGCCTGGAGTCCACATGTCAGTACGCTGCTAACGCGGTACGCGGCAAGACCCATACTTCAAGGCAACGTGCCTTGAGCGATAGACTGCAGCGCCTCGAGGATTCAATCCAATCACTTGTTGGCGGAGATAATGTGTCCCAGCTAAGCCTACAGCCACAATCAGAAGGGGCACATACGGTTAATGAAGGTGGAAGCCTTCCGAGTGCACATGGGGTCTCTGCCGCCGCGACTGGGCTAGGTGCGAGCAATGAACCTTGCATCGGAGACCGACATCTTCAAAACAAAGCGGTGCCCAACAGTCTTCATACTCACCAAGGCAAAACCAGCCACGTTGATTCCAGTCACTGGGTTTCTATTTTGGAGGATATCAAGGAAGTTCGAGAGAGTTTGTTTGCCGTTGACCCCTTCTCGCTCATTGAACCGACAAGCGACGGTGGAAGTGAACACCCAGACTTGAGCCTTGCTCTTGGATCAGAACATCGATTGAAAATCAAAGATATCCTTGTCTCGCTGCCCACGCGCCCTATCTGCGATATGTTGGTGTCCCGATATTTCAATGCTCGGTATATGGTGTTAGGTGGGCTATCATTTGGAACTACCCTCCATTGTATGTCTGGCTGATTTTAGGGCGACGGCAGGCATCGTGCACTCTGGAAATTTTCAGGATGAAGTGAGTCGCATCTTTGTGTTATACGTCGTTTTCGGAGCTACTTGATGAAGTGTCTCCTATCCTAACTAACTGAGTCGGGGTAGTATGGAGAATTTTGGAAAGCACCGCAAAAGGCACCCGTGCTTTGGATCGCGCTTCTATTCAGTATCCTCAGTGTATCAGTCCATCTCCGCCTGAAAGTGAACACAGACGGGGCTTTGAATGGTTCGATTCCATCGCCCGATATCCTCCAACAGAAGGCGGCACAGTGCCTTACGCTTGGAAAGTATAGGACGGCCAATGCTTATGCATTAGAGGCATTGCTTCTGTATACCCAAAGTGGCTTTTTGAGTGACATGAAAACTAGTTCCCGACAATGGTTTGACATAGGGCTCATACTTAGGTTAGCATTTCGCATGGGCTATCACCGTGACCCTAGCACTTTACCAGGGGCGACGACGCCATTTGATAGTGAAATGCGACGTCGGGTGTGGCTGCATATCTTCCAGCTGGACGCACTCTTGAGTTTCCAAATCGGCCTTCCAAGCATGATACCGGCTGAGTGTTGTGACACCCATTTTCCCAGGAACCTATACGACGCCGATCTCCATGTTGGGATGTCCGCATTACCGCCGTCTCGACCGTCCTCAGAATACACCCCTATCCTCTATGGTATCTCCAAGGCCGGTGTAATGAGCATCTTCAAAAAGATCGTTGCACATACAACTTCGCTTGCAACACCATCTCACAGCAGAACCATTACTCTAGATGCCGAGATGAGAGGCGCTTACACTCTGGTTCCTGACTTCCTAAAACGGAGAGACATCAGTCAATCTCTCATGGACTCATCCGAGGTAATCCTGAACCGCTGTACGATCGAACTCTTGTACTTGAAAGGACTCGTTGTTCTGCACCGGCGGTATATCCGATACGAGCACCAAGACGCCAAATCCGAGTCTTCACGGCGCTTCTGTGTGGAAGCAGCTCTTGAAATCCTCGCCCGTCAAGCAGACATGCATCAAGCATTTCAACCTGGTGGCCGTCTGCAAGAAGACCAGTGGATGATTTCCTCGCACACAATCTATGATTTCCTTTTAGCTGCAATGGTCATCTGTCTGGATCTATCTGTGCGTCTCGAATCTCATACGACAGCATTTGTAGACGAGCATGCAGACCATGGCTTTGTTTCGAGAGAGATTGTTGCGTTGAAAAACTCCCAACAGATTTGGGCTGCTAGTAGTCATCTTTCGCCGGAATCTCGCATTGCGTCGCTTGCGCTGGACTTGATGGCCCGTAAGGTGGCTGAGCGTCAGGCTACCTTCACGTTCGATGAGGTTGCATATACGGACGTTCCTGGGGTGGGCCTGGAACTTCCCTACATGGAGCCAATGTCGGAAATGATTGATGGGTCTGGGACACTAGACTGGGTAAGCTCTTTCACATATACTGAATGCTGGATCGATTGTGAATAATATCTGACCATTTTTCTCTCTCCTAGCTTTTGTTGGACCAATATTTCCAGAACTCTGGTTTTGAGGCGCCTCAAGACCCGAGTAATGATATGAGTGGGTTATTTACGGATGATCCTGGAACATTTGACCCTTGCGCATATCATCAGCTATAGTAAAGTAATGGTGAGATAGGGAAGGAAAGCTGTCTGACTACTTGTGTTTTACCAGATGTCAAAATTCACTACATATTTGGTCCCATTGTATGCTGTGCAAAATCCAATTAATACTTTTGTACATTGCACTGAGGATGGCTGCTTGTCCCCGTGCATGCAATGGAATATCTCATCAACTCGTTGAAAAATAACAGGGGCATCATCGTGACAGTGTCATGTAGACGTGCATTAAAATGGCTGGAAAAGAGATGCAAGGCATACTACGTATTCACAAATTCATCTTCGAGTGTCTATGCCAGGTACATAAGGCACCTAGACGGAAACCCAGCCCGACGACCAGTAGATGTAGAAAGAGGGCAAGGGTCTGGGCCCGAACGCTGCGTGCTGTGAAAGTAAATGCTGCAGAGAGGAGAAGAGGGTAAAGGATCCAGGGTTTGACGGCCAGCGGCGAGCATGGATGAAGAAGGGATGTGATCTTGACGAGGAAGAGAGTGATCTGCAAGGCAGTCGGTGGTGGGAATGAACCCCAAGACGCTAGGAAATTAAGGACGGGGAAGCGGCTCGGTGGGGGCGGGAGAAGATGATTTTGAGGGACTGGTTGAGGCTGGGGATCGAGGGGTGGTGATGATCCGTGAGGAGGTTGGGCTGGAGATGATGGTGATGAGTTAGAGTACCGGTTCCGGACGATCATTTCTCGATCTGGGCCGAAAGAGCCTTCCTCTGGTTTGGGGTCGGACACAGGCGCCGCATTGCTTCGAAAATGGCTAGATTCAGGTATCGAGTCACGTCGGAAGGATGTTGGGTTCCGGCGCAGCTTTTTGGTGGGAGAGAGTGTTCGCTCTACTGATGGCTGTTGGCTATCCAATGGGCGAATTCGAGCCCCAGGCAGGTCGGAGCTTCCCGTGCTGGCTTTCCTGAAGCGGAAGTTTTCATTTGAATTGACACCGACTTGGATGCCATTTAACACCTCGTCTGCCGAGGGTCGTCGGGCGGGATCAACTGAGAGTAAGCGCTCTAGGAACCTATACAGCTTTTCGGGGAGATCGGAGCGAATAGCTCGTGCGTGGTCAAATCCAGCCCAGCTGGTGATCTCTGCACGGAGTTGATCCAGGTCCTCTTTTTCTTCGTGTATGAGATCGGCATTCGCGTATGGAAGAGCTGCGAAACACAAAAAGTAAAGAATCATTCCGAGGGAGAAAATATCGGACTTGAACGTAAAGTTGCCAAACGGTCCGTCAGGATATTCTTGGCGAAGAACTTCGGGTGCACAGTACGAAAGGGTACCGGTTGCACCAGTCGACTGGCGCATTGCATTTTGAGACTGCACCTCGCCGAAATCGCTGACCAAAACTCTGATGCCATCACCGGTCTCATGGAGCAGACAGTTGTTTGGTTTCAGGTCTCGATGGATGTATCCATTGGCGTGAAGATAACGGAGTCCAGAGGTGATATCACGGAAGAAAGAATAGATTTCATCTAGTTGAAGTGTGCGAGGTCCTCCCAGTTTGGTTCGAGGGTCTGGTTCGCCTTTGGATTTGCGGCGCAGGCGGTCCTTCAATTGTTGTGCAGTGGTCGAAGTTTGGACAGAGCCACAGATGTAATCATGCAAATCACCGGCATTGCAGTATTGCTGTAGAATAAATGCGCAAGGCACACTCGGGCCGAAGGTGCTTATCTTCGCATTTTCCAGCCAGACATGACGGTACGAGACAAGGTTCTGGTGAGAGAGATGTTGTAACAGCTGCACTTCACCCAGAACCTTCTCCAGCCACTCATGATCGTCGCCGACAGGGACACGCTTGCAGGCATAGTGACCAAGGGACACACTATCCAGGACATGCTTCACTAGGAGCACCACACCTTTTCCACCTTTGCCCAACACTCGTTCCTCCACAAAGAACCTCTTGAAGTAATCTGGACTGAATGCTGCAGAGGAGATTCCTTGCGGCGACGGTTGTGGCGATGAGGTTGGTTGAACGGGTGGATTATTGGTAGGACCACGGGGGAGCGCAGGCTGAACGAGGCGATGGCGTGGGGAAGGAGGAGACGAGGATGTTGTGGAGCTGGGAAGGCTATTGTTGAGCATGTGAAAGTAGTTCGGATTAACAAATTCCTCTTGCGTTTCATTATTCGCACAATGTTGTTCTCTACTATTATCGCGCATTGAGCGATGACAGAATGGGCAGTTGGCTAGCTCCATATGGTCATTGTCCGCATCTGACGTATTGCGGAGAACGAGCTGTTGCGAATCATGGTCAAAGACAACCACCGAGTCATTGTGTCGCCTATTCACAATTAGAGAACTAGTAGCATAAATTTGAAGATGACTTACAAAACAACATCAGTGTTTCCCCCGTTATAAGGTACCATAGACATGTCGGTGGGCATTCTGGCATGGATGTGAGGAGATGACAATGGGGAGCTGTCGATGATGATGTAGACATGGGGGCGGTGAGGGTACGGTGGTGGATAGTGCATGCACGTGGAACAAATCCTTTCTTATATTCACCACATTTCTTGTTTGTCCTCTTTCATAGACAATAGGATCAATACTGTGTTTGATTATACCTTGTCCTCAAGAACTCGAAGTTGCAGCAAGATATAGATCCAATTCGGGTATCCTCAGAACTGAAACAGTGAACTAACTGAAACGAACTAGGCTGATCTATGAGTGGGGTACAGCTTACACCAGTGGACAACCCACACAGTCCTTGATAGTCACCTCAAATAATACACAGAAGCCCAAATTTAGCCTGGTTTGAATCCCAATGGACCCGATTTCTATAACCGGTCTCGTAATAGAGGTCAGCCATGTGCTGTCGAGCCTGATCAGATATGCCAAATCGGTACAGAGCGCAAAATCCGAAGTGCGGAAGCTCACCGAAGAGCTCTTTGCTCTCAAAGGCATATTAGGGCACTTGGCAGCACAGATAGATGATGTTCCCAAATTTCAAGAGTCAGAAACAAGCCCATTTGATCGCGACGTTATGGCGAGAGTATTGAATACAACAAATGAGTTCCTCCAATCCTTACTCATGGATTTGGAAGTGTCCGAGACCAAGTTTAAGCGCCTCAAGCAAACTCTAAAATGGCCCTTTACTCAGGCCGAATTCAGCGAACATCTGGTCCGTTTGGAAAGAGTCAAATCGTGGTTGATACTGGTTCTCACTGCAGACCACAATTCGGTGGATCGGGAGATGCAGCAGGAGGTTCGTGATCTGACAAACACATTGAAGGAAGACTTGCAGATTCGAGCTCAAGAGCGCAACAAATTGGCCAACAGGGAGCTACTGCGATGGATAGCTCCTGTGAACCCCGAAATCTCTCATCTGCGGGCCTCAAAAAGACATAGGAATGGGACTGGTAGATGGTTTGTCGACGGTCATTTGAAAACGTTTCTTGATCAAGATGAAAACCGAGTTTTCTTCCTCTTAGGGAAATGTACGTACCCATTGCGACTTCTAAGGAATTTCACTGATATAGTTTTGAAGCCGGAACTGGAAAAACTACACTGTTGTAAGTTCCGTTGGAGAATCGGGTTGCTTCTTATATCTGACCTTCACTAGTGCACAAGTTGCCGACGAACTTACTTATATGGCTTCCCAAGGCCAACACATGTGCCTTGCTTATTTCTATTGCACAGTTAGCGATTTTGCCTCTCAGAATGCCAAAAATATTCTAGGATCACTTGTGGCGCAGCTCTCGGGAACAGTCCCTTCAATGTTGGATGAGATTCGGTCTATCTACAACAAAGGCCCAAATAACCAGGCGCACAGGTTCCCTATCGAATTACCTGTTCTCGAAGCTGCCATCCTTAAGTCTGCTTCTGAAAAGACAAAGGTTGTCCTTTTAGTTGATGCAATCAACGAAAGCCATGATATGCAGCTTCTTGAAGCTTCCCTTATCAAGCTTGCCAGTCTGTCCACGAACATCCGCGTGCTTATAACCACTACAAATACCATGAGTTCCATCAATCACAACAATGTATCTGTCTTGAACATAAGTGGAAAGTCACAAGGGGACATTGATACATTTATCAAATACAGACTTGAGACCGATGATACGTTGAGAACTTTGGCACCGGAATTCAAAGCAGAGATTGAATTCACTCTTTGTCAAAATGCTGATGGATCGTTAGTATATTATCTATCTTACTATGCTTTCTATGGTCTAATTATTTATTCGCAGATTTCGCTGGGTCCAGCTCTCATTGGACAACCTGAGCACGCAACGATCTGTAAGGGCGATGCGACAGGCCTTGAAGAACCTTCCAAGTACTTTACGCGAGACATATGCAAATATGTTGGAAAGAATTGCCCCTGACGATTGGAAGATCGCTCATGAGGCCCTTTTTTGGCTCAGCTTTGCCAAACAACCTCTTACTTTGAGGTGTCTCAACGAAATCGTGGTCATGGACGAGACAAGCATGACACTCGATGAGGATATGATGCTTGTCCCTCCACATATTCTTCTTGAAATATGTCAAGGACTCATCACTGAAGACCAGCATGGCTATCTCAATCTCGCGCATGCGTCTGTCAAGGACTTTTTAACGTCTGATTGGATTTGCTCATCTCGAGTCCAATATTTCGCCCTGGATCCTACAACTGCAGACCTGAAAGCCATGCACAGTTGTCTCACATACCTGTGTCTCGACAATTTTGCAAAGGGATACCTGACATGCCCCGAAGACCCAGCCAAGCTACGCCAGGATCATCCTTTCATAGCTTACGCCGCAAATTTCTGGCCCCAACATGGCGCCGCTTGCGGCTTTGGGGATTCTGAGCAACCCATGGTCCACAAATTCTTTGCTACAAGGTCTCTTCCTGGCCGGGGCAATTATGGAACGTGGATGCAGATATTGCTCCGGACAACCGCCGGTTCAAACACGAATGACGCCGTAGTCATTGACAGAACGCATCCTCTATACTACGCTGCCTCGTTTGGGATGGTTCAAGTTGTCGAGACTATTCTCGTTTCCGAGCCAGACATCGATATCAATGCTCGTGGTGGCCGTGTTGGAGCCACAGCGGTGTGGATTGCCAGTCTTCGCTTCAATTTTGAAGTTGTGAATATCCTCCTGCGTGCTGGAGCTAATCCATCCATTCGGGATCCAGGTAGTGGGCTGAATGTGCTTGATCTTTTGAGGATGGTGCCGACCCGTCATCGAAACTACGAGGGTCTACGACCCATTTTAGCTCGTCCAGCACCTTGGAAGGCGTTGGAGCGCGAAGAGAGGAGTAAGAGAATTGAATCTTACAAGCAAATAGGAAGCCAGCTAAATAGCCAAGTGCGGCCTAGCAACGAGGCACCTAGACACTCATGTGGGTGACTGTCTTGATAGAAGGATCAATGGAAAGAATGATGTCTTTTTAGTGGTCATTTTTAGTGGTTTTTGTAGAGGTCTCGGATATTCTGTTTACAACATACCCCTTCTCAGTTTTATAGGTAGAAAGTAGAGAAGGGAAACAAAAGCATACTTTGTACAGGAGACTTTTCTATGTATAACTTTGGATTTGACCGAGAGCGTCGCTATTTTCTGCTACGCTTCTCTCCCCTGATTCAACCCATGGTTGAAGAGCAGAACCAAATCCAAGCCTGCTCCTGGTGGTAAGAGAATTATAGAACATGCACGAAGATATCAATTACAATTACTATGAAGACGGTTTAAGTGGAAATAAGTTCATTCATATTGATTCCTCATCGAATCGGGTATCTGAGTTGGAGCTGGTGACGGAAAAACACCAAAACGCCTAGGGTGTACAAATTATGTACTGGGATGCTCACTATGGGTGCGGCTTTTGGATGGCAGGCACTCTTCAGGCCTGGGCGACATGTCGCAAGGCAGCGTTCAGACTTCTGTGCGAGAAAACACATGCCAGACGCCTTGTGGAGAGCCAAGTCCGCTCAATGCGGAAATGGGGAGGAATGACCCGGCTAGAAGCTGTGTTTCAAGAGCTAGCATAACCGGTCTCATGGCGATAGACTGTGAGTCTTTCGCAGGGCGGAATAGGGATAGGAGTGATACTCGTGCTGTAGAAAACACCGGGAGATCAATCACTCCTCGCCACTCTCCACGTCGCTGACCTCCAAGTTGGCGATCGAATCGTTATCGCTGTCCTCGGGGTCGACGGTCTCGTCCTGGGCAGACTCAGACTCGGCCTCAACTTCGGCTTCCTTGGCCGGCTCGTTGTTTTCATCCAACTTGCGCTTGCGAGGCATCTCGCCGAGTGCACCTTCACGGCCCATGACACCAGCCTCGTCCTTCTCTCCCTTCTCGCCCTTGCCGGTACCCTTGGGTGGGGGTGTGTACCAAGGGATCTTTCCACGAAGGAAATCGTTGATTACCATCTTGGCGACACCATCCAGATCGGCTTCACCTCCCTTAAGGAGACGACCACCCTGGCGAGCAAGAAGCGCGAGCCAGTCCAGGTAATTCTCCTGGTGCTTGATACCGTAGGTACGCTCAAGGTGACGGGGCAAGACACGGCGAAGAACAGCCGGGATGTATTGCTCGGGGTTGTGAACGTTCTCCACTCTGCAGACTCCACGGAGAAGGATGTCCTCCTCAGTGTCGTTGACGTTGGGAGGAACCACACCAGGACAATCGATGAGGTAGATTCTCTTCATCAGGGTGATATACTGCCACACCTTGGTTTCACCCGGGATGGGAGCAACTGTGCACACCTTCTTGGCTCGGAGAGTGTTGATGATGGAAGACTTGCCCGTGTTAGGGTAGCCGATCAAGCCAACAGACACTTGTTTGCGGTCGGAGTGAAGGGACGAGAACTGGCGAAGCAGCGAGATCAAAGAACCCTTGCCGAAAGAGTTGTTGATATTGGCATGGAATGCAAGACAAGGGTAGTCCTTAGAAAGATGACGAACCCAAGCGGCCTAGTGAAAGATGCAAAGTTAGCAATGAGTCACCAGCAATGAGTCACCAGCAATGAATTGAAACATTGTGTAGAGGCAGAAATGTGTGAGATGTTACTAAGAATTCTGCTACAATGCCACCAAAAAGGCAGAAGCAGTCTTCTACTCAAAAACAAAGCACAGCTGGCCCTTGCGACAGGCCTTCAAGACGAAAGCAAGTCAACCTAGGTTCATAACGAAATTCGGTGCGGGCCAGTGTTAATATACCAAAGCTGTAACAGACGGAATTCCATTGAAACAAGCATAACCGAAGTTGTGCACGACCGAAGTCGCAGGAAGAGGCCTTGACTTAGCGATGGAACAGGGGGATAACAGGAAAACGCAGCAAAGCAATGAAAGCAATAACGGAGTGATAGAAATGGATAGAAAAGGGGGAACGGTGAAACTTACAGCAACGCCAGTGGGGACGAGATCGCACTTGTTCAGAACAAAGATCAAGTGCTTGTGTGGTGCCTCCTCGCGAACATATTTCTCAACACTTCTGCAACGAGTACCCTCAGGATCACGGGAATCCAGGACATGGATGATGACATCGGAAGAATCGATAACCTTGTAAAGTTCGTTCCAGATACGCTTACTCTGTCCCTTGGAGAAGACAGATTCACGAGAGGTAGTGAGCTGACCTAAGTCTTCGGCTGCGGCAGTATCATCACCACGAACAATCGCACTTCCATCGGCGTGAGTTCCCTCATCATTCTTCTCAATGTAGCTGTCCTGCAACTTGGCTGTCTCGCCAGCGAGGTCTTCGAGGGACGACACACCAAGCTTGACGCGCTTGCGCTGAGCCTTGGGGCCGAATGTATCATTGAAAGGAGAGGTCTCAATGGCCATCTTAGCCTGGTGCTGCTTCAGCCCGTTGACCTTATCGTTGTCCCGAATCAAGCTCATGGGGAGCTTGTTGGTCTTGAGAAGAACTTGGTACGGATCGGCAGCACGCTCAGCAACAGCCTCACGGAAAGAGGTCAGAGCCTCTTGTGAAATAACACGGGAGTTAGCAAACCATTTACGGTTTGGCTCGATGCGGGCTGTCGGCAACTCTTTGGATTGATAACTCGCGGCGACTGTGATATCACCCTGTGCGTTGCGGCGAGGCGTGCCATCCTTGAACATGTTCAAGGTCTTGAGCTTCTTGGCATCACTGGAAGGCAAGTCAGTATTGGTTATTCGAGCATAGTAGGGATTCTGGCTGAGGTTGAACGAACCGGTAAAAATTTTCACCTTTGGTCTTGACATTGGCCATGCCATCGTTGGGCTTCCCCTGCCGCACTTTACGAGCGGCCTCCTTCTTTCCTGTACCCATGATAGCGGTTGTGGGTTGAAATGTGAAAGGAGAAATAAGTGCCTGACGAAAAAAAAATCGAAGGCAAGACCAAACACAAAGAGTGGCAGAGTGCAAAGAGAAGAAGAAGAAAAATAAAAGGCGGCGAAGGAATTATTTTTTTTGGCGCCAAGACATTGTCGTGCACGGACCAAGGGAAAATCGCTTCTTGTTTCTTCCGACTTGCTCGACCGCGTATCCTCCCTATTATACGGTAATCAACCTCAGGCTACCTCCCGATTTAATTGAAGGTCGTGTCATAGACCTTTAATTCGATAATTTACTTCGCAACAATCCCCTACCTGTTTTATCACTCCACGGAGTGACAGGGTTGAATTGCGCCGCATGTCTGTCCTCCGCAATAGCCGGACTGCCACTGTGCAGGTCCGTGGCTTTGCTTCCTCCTCCAATCTTCGAGTCGGACCAGAATCTCCTCACTTCATCGATGTGCCGAAGATTATCCAGCCCACCAACCCCCGCAAGCCTCATGTCAGGGGTACACTACCCGTGCCTCGCGAGCTCTTCCCGGCCCGCCGAGCAGACAAGCCCCGGATACAATACCTCAATGCAGCCACACAACTCCCCAAGTCGGAACGCGTAGTGAGCCTCAGGAGCAGCAACCCCGAAAAGCAGGAATGGAAGCACAAGATGGCCGACCTGCGGAGACAGAACCTGCGGGACGGTCTGCGAGACCTGTACTCACGCAAAAGGTCCGCAGATTCCAAGATTGTCAGCCGCAGTCTTGAGAGTCAGAATCGGCGGGACCGCATTCTTCAACAACCCGAGCGTGAGGACGAGCGCCTCACTCGGCCATCGGTCATCGAGGCCATGATGCCCCACAAACAGCCAGTTTACCCCGACCCCAACCGGGACGAACGCCTTGCGCTCTCTCGAGCACGCCTAGAAGCCAAGCAGGCACAGAAAGAGGCTGAGCGGAAGGAGCACCTCCAGTCGTTGTATGTGAATGCTCGCACTTTTATTACAACTGAGGAGCAGCTCGCTGCTGAAATTGACCGGGTATTCCCCGAGGGCGAGAACCCAGCGTGGCGCAACGACCACCAGCCTGGCGAGAACATCTGGAACTTGGGTAACCCCCCAACTGTGTACAATCTCGCCAACAAGACCCGCTCCAACGAGGCTGTTCGCTGGGATGTCTCTCAGGACCGTGTTAAGAAACTTGGCGAGGCACTTACTGGAGGTAAGATGCGAGAGTAATCGGGGGGGGTTTTTGGCATCATGTACAGTATCTATTAAGCTATCACATTCAGAGCTCAATCAAGAGATCCTTTGAGATCCTTCCATTTTTCAAGTCGAGTTCCCGCCATGTTCTAATGCCAACGTGAGTAAGGTCCACCTAAGAGTGAAGACAACTCAACAGCGAGATTATACCAAAGCAAGAAGCACCCGAGTCTCACCTGGCAAGATGGATACCACATGCGGAAGTCTTACAGGGCCTCGATATTACAGTTCTTCAAAGGATCTTCGGTGTGGCATTGTTTAGCTTGGCTTCAGATCGTGTGTTACTCTAGGCCTTGAATCCCAAATAATAAATAATGACGAAAGGCTGAATATACAAATAAAGTGGAATCATAACAAGGAAGGGACCTTGAAGAAAGGAAAGGTCCTCGGAAAATTCTTCGGATAACAGAGAGCTATCTCCGTGGTAAGAACAAAAAATGGCTCAGAGAGCACGGTGTGCAGGCCCTGACGGTGGAGAAGCCAAGAAAGTACAGTCTGTATCCACAGAGGTCGTAATGTTACTGCCCGCAGGTTCGTACCACCGACATGCTTCGTGTCATTAAACAGGACGGGTGACTCCCAATCTAGTTTCAGCCTAACTTGGACCGCGTCAAAGATCTGTCAGTGTCCTCAGGATACCATTCACTGGACAACAGGAACCAGGGTGTGTAATGTGGACCCAGAGCAGGGATGGAGAGGAAAGAAAGAAGAGAGAAAGTGGGAGGCAGGTATCTATATTTGGCTGGCTTAAGGCGAGGGGGGGAACCGGGGAACTGGGGTGGATGACGGGTGACAAGGCACCTTAAGTGATTGGGAAGGTACGGGCTTATCACATCTGCTGGCTTCTGTTGCAGGGTAATTGCAATAGAAACTACCGTTCCGATTCTATAACACCAGAATGCAGGATGGTTTGAGCAACTAACCCAAAATGGCTGCAGCACCACCTCGCTGGTATTCTTCATCACATACATGACGTTGCATCTCACCTAGTGTGGTTCTTGTACAATTCTGAATCCTTGCTCTAGTAACAATATCCATGGTCAATGGAAGCGAGCCTTCATATCGGTCACACTCATTAGAGGCAGCCTCAAAGGCATTGTTGGGACAACGGTTTTCAAGATGGACCAAATCACCAACCAATTCTACTATGCGTTATGCTAGCTAATCCCCTTGTCGTCTTGATTGATGGCGCATGGATGCTGGAATCCCGTCGGGCAAACAAGCGGGTCTATGCCGGTGGAAACCCGATTGAGGGATAGGTTGACTTTTAATATACATATTGTGACTGCCAAGTACTATACAGATGTGTTTACCTTTTTCTAATATTTAATATCGTTGCTGTCTCGCTGGGTTGACAGCCTGCCTTGTTTGATTGGCAACCACCAGTTAGGATAATATGTGATGCAACCTAATAGGAAAATAGACATAGCTTAGAGGTCTTTGAAGTATAACTATTGTAAGTAATATCAGCAGCCATCTGCTGTCCTCGGCAGACCTGAAACACACGCAAAAGAGCGAAAAAGATGCGAGAATGTAGCAGAATGTAGTAGGCGCTCATAATTGAACAATAAAGTCCATGGAAGATGCGGCAGGATGGTAAGGTTTTGAGCCAGCCACTGTTACTCTTTCCATTTGGGATTTGCTGTGACGTTTAGGAGTACTCGACTCCCTCCAGTGCATCCAAAGTGGGTCTATATCTTAGAGTCACCACCATCCTGTGGAGTTGTCGATGTCTGTTGGTGTCCTTTTGATCCAAACCCAGAGCCCCCCTCTATGACCCAGTAGTCAAGGGACTGAAACAATCCTGGCTCTTGTCTGAGGTGTTCGATGGATCCGAGGGTCTTGACGCCCATGGTATCATTTCCCTAGCGGAAGGCGATAATAAGAATCTACTAGTCACCATTTCCATTCTCTTTGAGAGGCTCCAACATCCTTTTCAGTAGATTCGACCAATATGCTGCAGATGGCATGATTGTAACCGATGTTCTTTCGATGCGGGTTCAACTTGATTGCATTGCTTAGAGAGGGTCTCAGTCCGGGGAGTATGAGCTGGCCCTTTCTGGCCTGCTTCTCTGGGGTCGTTATTGCCAAATGTCGAATGTAGGAGAGGTTGACGGTCGACTGGCAGCTGGGTAGCAGGTTGTAGCGGGTGTAGCTATCAAAAGTGTAAGTTATCAGATCTGTTAATCAGGCAAGAAAGAGTGGTACTAACTGGTAGTCATGATTTGTGGCAAATGCGGTGAAATCTTCAGGGCCATATATGTGGGTTTGTTGATTGACAAATGGATGAACTTGGATCAAATTATTTGTTGATCCTGACGATAAAAGACTTGGAAACAAGCATGTAGTAGTGGCCAAAGGCAACCACCACCAACCATCATAGTAATATCACCATATGTATCTACCACGCATCCTACACTGCCCGAGAAACACATTAAAAGGTTCAAAAATAATCACATCATATTCCTCTGTTTACGCATAGGTCCAAAGTACAAATCATGCTTACCATGTCCCTTTGGTGCACAGAAAAGGGCAAACGCAAAGTTTCAAAGCTCGAGAGAAAAGAAGTGTAACCTAATGCCCATTAATTAACAGCAGGTGGCCTAGTGGTAACATGACAATGTGTACCACGAGGGAAGTGCCGAAGATCTTCCACTATCTGACTGTTCCAGTTCGATCCGTCGAGACCACGTTTGATAAACACCCTTTTCTTTTTATCTATTCTCATAATAATTATCGTCTTTCATCTTTATTTCCAACCTCATCATCTCCAAATTATATTCCACCAGCTAGTATACTTCGGACCGGAAAATTAATGCCCCAGTCCCAAAATGCACGTGATCCAGATAAGCCGATAAGCAATTTTCCCTCCGGCAACCCACCGCCGAAAAAAGAAACAGAAGCCCAGAATCACTTCGTGCTGCTGGCAGTGCTACTTTACAAAATTTGCCTATTTATTTCTCTTGCGTCCATCTACATACCAATCCTCTCCAACCAAACCCCATCCTAACACAACCATGGTGCAAGGATCATTGAAGAAAAACGGTCCCGCCGGCCCAGGCAGGAAGTAAGTGCCATTCACAGACAAAACCACCACAGACGATAGTCACAGTCCCACCCATCCACACAAGAACAATTAAACAATTAAACTAACACACATCCTCACCAGGCCCTCCAAGACAACTAGACCTGGTGTCCGCTCCGTCGCGCCCAAGAAAGCCGGCCTCATCAAGCAGAAGAAACTGACCAAGGTACGCAACGATTCGCTTCCGGTTTTATCGACGCAGACCGCAATCTGTGCCTTCGAGACAAGCACAATAAAACAAGACAAGATGAAAAAGGAACAACTACTAACACACCAACTCTGTAGCGACTCACATCCGGTCTCGTCTCAATGACAGAACGCAGTCTGGCGACAAAGGCAGGCCATCTTGAGCTGTTGGCTGGTGGAAAGAAGGACCGTCTGCAGAAGGAGCGTAATGCTGCTCGTAAGGATGGTACTCTGGCTCGCAAGGAGACTGTGAAGTCAGGACCTAATAAGGCGACTTGAGGTGTGAGGAATTAATGGAGATGTTTCTTTTTGTTTGATTCGATCTTGTTTGCAGTTCGTCTATCTAGAGCTCATTATATGAGTACATGAAATCGATACCCAGTTTCTATTGTCTTCTTGGTTTGTTTGTCTAACATACATGTATCTATACACAAGAGGATAAGTGGGTAGTATGAGATGGATGCAAGATGAAGATGAAGTAGAGAAGAGAAGCAGTGTATATATATATATATATAAATGTTGATAAATAGTATTTCCATGTACAAATCTTGGGAAAATCAACTGAATGGAATAACATGCGCGAAATCATCAAATCATAAGGCAGATCTTGTATATAAAAGTCATGATGCATCCAATAGAAACAAGAGAAACAAGGAGATCTCGAAGAAAAAGAAATAAACGAACAAAAAAAAGGGTATCTATGATTCTAACTCCAGTGCCATTACCATCCAAACCATATTCGCAGACAAAGTCTGCCATCCTAGTCTCAGAACTTCGAGATGCGGCTCGGAACACCAGCCTGCTCAATCAGGTCCCGGCCACGCTCCATCCAGCCATTGAAGCCGCCATCACTGGAGTCCGAAGGGAAATCATCCCAGACGGCATTCTCCGAGTCCGCATACGTCGACCAGACGCCCTTGGGGACATCGGCCGCCGACCACGAGGGCAGCTTTGCCAGTACGCATGTGTAGTAGACGTAGAGGATGCGGCAGAGCAGCTCGACGCGGTCAATGTAATGCTGCGATGTGGGATCGGGGTTCTGGCCGCCGTCGCCGAGCCGCTTCCACCAGCTCACGCGCCATCGGAGCGTTAGCAGGATGTGACCGAGTTCGCCAAGGAAGCGCACGTGCGTCTCGTGAGAGATCTGCTTCCACTTGATGTTGTAGAAGTCGCGCTCGAGCTTGCGGAAGCCCTCGACTTCGAGCATGCGGCAGAAGATTCGAGAGAGTTGCGCTGCTAGAAGGATCTCGCGTCGGTCTTCTGGGCTGTTAATGTCCATTGTTCGTTCTTCGACTGCTGAGTCTAGGGACACGAAGCTGTATTTGGCGCGGCTGGGCATGTTATTCCACTGGGAGAGGAGGGTCTGTGGGTGGTTAGTTTTTATGTTCTTGCGATGTGGGACAGTGGACACTTACGTAGGCTTGGTTCATTGGGTCGCAGTCGGCAACGCAGGACAGCCAGTTCTTAGACTTGTCCTTCGAGTCGACAATTCGTCGGTCGATGAACTCTAGGAAAGTGGACTTCGAGTTGCCGTTGTACTCGCTCAGGGTCTTCAGGAACTTGTAAGTCTCTCCCAGGTCGAGGACGTAGAGAGAGCCCCAGGCCTGGCTAGCGCGGATGTTGAACCGCCCCTGGCGCTCGGCGAGCAAAGACAAGAGTTGACTAAGGTCAAATTCGGATGGAATCTCCATCCGAACTCGGTTGGAACCATCCATCGTGGGGTGGTTAATAGCTCGTTGGGCTAGATAGGGTCAGCAATGTGAACAATCCATGCAGAGGTTTGATCGATGCTTACAGATGTAGTTGCAGGTTCCAAACTCGACAATACTAGAGAAGCATGCACGAGCGCATGGCTGCTCATGAAGTGTGGGGCGACAGGCATCGCAGGGGGCGCTTCCATCACACTGCAAACACGTTAGCTTTATGAAAATATAGATTTGGGTGGAAATCCTTACCTTGCGTTTGTTCAGTCGACACTGAACACAAGTGTCCTTGTTCTTCCTGCGCAGGCCTGCATTGGCCCGTCCAACCATACTCAATGGGCCCTTGCGACGAGCGCCGCGTGGGGGCGAGACAAAGTCCGCAGACGCGATAGAGCCGCCTTGGCCATCCTCCTGGACAATCTGCAAAGGCCTTGCGATGCCCTGGTCCATTGAAGCAGGGTTTCTGGTCTTGCGCTTCTTGATTGTAGCCGAGGACTGCATGGCAAGTGGTGCCGGTCGACCGGCACGCTGGCCAGCAGTCGACGAAGCCCTCGACCTTGAAGGAACGGTGGAGACCAGGGACTCCGCGGGGGTCTCACTCACCATGAAGGCAGTGGTCTTGAATGCAGGCTGTGACCCCTCCGGTGAACTAGATTCATGCGGTGAGGTCTTCCACTGGACATCGTCTTCTTCCAACTGTCGGTCCGCAAATGCCGGGGCTTCGTCGCTAGTGGCGGAGTAGGAGCACTCGTATATTCCCGATATATCGCCCGACACCGAGGAGTTTTCCGATTTGAATTGGAACTCCCGTCCCATTTGTACATTTCGCGGGCTAGTAGCTTGCGAGACCGGCATGACCTGTTGGGTGGGCAGTTGGGATTCCAGACTATTGAGCCATCGCGATTCCAGCGATCTGATAGAAGTCTGGAAGCCCAGGGAGTGATCCTTGGGGCTATCCTGTGCGTCCAAGGAGAGTGAGATGGACTCTTGCGGCGGAGGCATATTGTCCGCGGGAATGCCACGTTGAATTTCAGTCCACTGCTCGGGGATCATGGGGAAGGACTGCGGGATCTGCTGGAACGACATAATGCCCTCGACCGGGGCATCCGAGAAACCACCGTGAGGCATCTCCCCAAGATCGTCGACAATGACGGCGCCATTTGAGTGGCTTGGTCCTTTCGCGTAAGGGTAGAGAAGAGACGCGTCCATTGGCATGTTCACCGAGTTGTACAATTGAAAGTGCGGCCAAGCCTCGTCGGAATGGAAATTCTCATCGGCGGAAGATGGGATGGTCTTGGGGCTGAGAGTTCCGCTGCCAGTGCCCTCAATGAAGCCATCTGGGTAGCTCATATTCTCAGGTGCTACATCGTGCTTTCTATAACAAAACAAGTGTCAGCCTACATCAACATCGCACTTGGCGGGCTCGCATCAGGGAGGGGATTCCGGACCTGTTCTCCAGACGACGGTATTCGCCGGTCAATGGGCCATGGAAAGTGCCCAAGTCCGCGATATCCGCATCACATTGGCTCGATTCCTGGCTGGTGTCCCACTCGGGGGGTTGATCGTAACCCAGATGTTCCCATGAGGCGACAGAAAAGGCGCCTTCTGTTTGCCAATTGTCTAAGATTTTGGGGTCGATCCCCGCAGCGGTCCCAGTACTTCCACCGTCCATACAGGATGAGAGGGTAAGGTTGCGGCGACGACCTGGTTGAGCAAAGATCCCAAAAAGACGTGCTTTTTGAGACTTTGCGGTACGGGCGGGGTGGCAGGATGGAGGGCTGTAGATAAGGGGGCGAAGATGTGTCGTAGTGTCGAATTATCGAATGGATATGTTGAAGAGGAGAGGGTTTAGGGGCCAGAGGATTGTTGAAGGGCTGACGGGATTCCCCACCTCAAGATTTTCTGCGATCGTCTCTAGCGTGTTGTTGGCACAGACCACTTTAGGATTTCCGTCTTTCTTACGGAGTACAACATATGATTTCGAGTCGATTTAATAATGTTTCCTTAGATACAGATTTCGAATTATGGGAATTATAGGAATTATAGGAATTATAGGAATTATAGGGAGTAGACATATACAGGTGTTGTATACTGTGTCGATCTCTCTTACGAGAGGAGCCCGGGAGATAATGTCACAGAAACTCCGCGGCCACTGTCTAGGAACATGAGAGATTTGCGTAAAACATCAAACCCCTCCATGCCTCCGTGCCCTCCGTGCCTCCGTGCCTCCAAAGTACGTACTGCCAAT